CTATAAAAGGTTTGGTTTTTAACAGTTTACAACAAGACTGTTTTCTTTCTTTCCACAGGAATAACCCTGGAAGAAAGTTGTAGCTGAAAGAGCAGCTCTTGCACCACCCACCCAACATTTTTAATATGTTTTTTTGTTGTCAAATGAATGTAAGCATTTTACTTAAATTTTACTGTTGGAAAGTAGTTTAGAGGGATTGTTTTTGTTTTAAGCCTTTAGAAAAAAAAAAATCTTGATATAGTAAACTATGTTAATGATCGTACAGGTAGAAAGTAAAATATTTGTAACAACTTTTAAGAAATTTTACTGTTTGTTATATGCAGTGTAATTCTGCTTTGTCCAAATATATGGTCAAGTACAACTCTAAAAGTTTTGATTCTCCCCTATGTCTGTGTTTTATTCTGAAGTAAACTTACAGCTCTGCACACCTGAAATCTTGGAGCAGCATTTTTTATAAATTGATTACTACTTTTGTGTTGCCTTTTTATAAGAAGTTTATTCAAGGGTAGTTATCCTGTTGTAGTGTAAGTACAAACAGTTGTACAAAATGCTGATGATATGTTAGTTCATGAGAATCACATTTATATAGTGTCAGTGATAAACCTGGATGCTTATTCTACCATGCTAGAGAGTGCAGCAAGAATTTTCCTTGAGAGTGAAATTGTCACTCTTTAGTAGCCTGAGAAATACATACATATATAAATATTAAAGTGAGTTTCAAGTGTATTATTTCCCTTCTGTAATGTGAGTTTTAGAAACTATTTCCAAGTCACTGCTGCTAGTAACTTTTAAACAGATCTGAAAACTGGAGTTCCTTCCCCCATCTCTGTAGTTAGTGCAGAATTACCTACAACGAGCTTAATTCCTGTAGCTTGTATCTAGAACAGATCCATCATTTATTATGGACACCTTGTGATTTGCTTTGTTATTAAAAGAGGCTTCTCTTGTCAATGGTAACTTTATACAAGTTTTGAGGTTTTATAAACCTAGGGTTTAAATTCACTGCAACAAAAGTGTGCTGTCCATAAAGTATTAAGTACAAGTGGCATTTTCAGGGCCATTAGCAATTATGGTTTCAGCATTCTGCGATAGTTTAATCATCAGCAGAACACTTTGATATTGCTACCAATTTCTTAATTAATTTAGCTTCTTTATCAATTTTGGTTTCAGTTTGTTAAAACTGCCTCTTTAATTTCTTTATGTGGACTTGTCTTTCCAGGTATGTAATCTGGTAAGAGTAAGTCTTTAAATCTTCCATCACATTTACAGCTTGAAGTGAAATTGGGGGTAGGGGGAGGGGAGAAACAAATGAACAACAACAAAAAAAAAATCACAAAAATCCCTGAAAAAGTAAAGCAAGATGTGTTAAAACCTGAATCAGTAAAGATATACTGAACATTTCTATAAAGTGTAAATTCCGTTACAGTACCCTGAAAGTACCTTTCTTTAGTATTCCACTTTAGATGTGTAAATTTGAAATTCTAACTCGATGGTAAAATTTAAATTAGCAAAATGTGTGAGAAATGAATCTTACTTTCTTCAACACCAATTTCTAAATAGTTGCGCTTCTAGTACTTTTGTAGTCAAAGTGCAGAAGTTAGTCTACAAGAAGTTGTTGGTTTTTTGGTGTGTTTTGGGGTTTTTTAAAACAAAAACAACAAACCCACAAACCTAGTTTAGTGGTCGGTACACTTTTAACCTACATAATGTTAAGGATGACAGTAATATACTTGAATTACCAGAACAAGGACATTCTGATAGAAAACCCAAGTAGTCTTGTTTCTCAGACTGCTGTAGATACAGTACAATACAATCTTAATGTTATATGGAGTTAGAAATGTGATTATTCTGAGTTTGCTCCTTGGAATGACATACTGTCAAAAAAAAAAAAAAAGCTTTGGTAGAGGTGTTTGTATTAAATATGTAATGTATGCCATCTTACTGGCTTTACTGTTAGGGAGTAGTTAACCATCTGCCCTATACAAATTAAACACTAGAAGGTAGAAAAATGTAGTGCTGTCACTAATTTTAACTGCAGTTGAGGAAACTGTACTTTGAATTGCACTAGTTTGCCAGCATCTCTGTAGAAAGGGAAATAGGAATAACACTTGCCCTCTAGTAGTTACTAAAGGGTTGGTCATTCTTGCCTTATGTTTTAGGAGGTTTGGGCAAACTATACCATTGTTGCAAGATCTCCTTTTACATGTACAATACATCTTTTAATAGCTGCTTGAAATTCAAAACTGATTGTTCCTTGGACTTTTTAGCAGAGCTCACACAGACTTGAGTATATTAAATCAGAGTGAGGAAGAAAAGGAACAAAAACTGCAGTAATGTCAAAGTGTGTCCTAGTGAAGTAAAATTTAACATCAGTCTGAAACTTACAAATAGGACCAAGATATACTTGAACCATAACCTATGAACAAATAATCTGTATCATCTTGGTCAAGTTGAAAGTGGATTGTGGTCGGTGTGTCATAAAACAAGAGAAATCTGCCTCATCATGCAGGAACAGAGTTCTGCTTCATTTGAATGTCCAAGGAAATCTGGTAGAGATTGCTTTAATGGCATTTGATCCTCCAGACCTAGGTTATATCATAAAAATACTTTTTAAAATCCTTCATTTCAGTGCAGTTTAGACATGTCACTTGTTGATTACAGAACACATGGTGACAGCCATAAATTAAACTTCTTGAATTAAGATAACTTAGTTGAAGATGGAAGTTGCAGTCTTATCAGAGATCTGTAAGAAACAAAGTGGGAGTTGAGATTTTTTTTTTTTTTTCTTAATCAAAAACTAATGCTTTGGCTCTTAGTCCTTCGACATGAATGGTGAATTTTCACTGTCATGATGAGAAAAAACATGTGTTGAGGCTTTCATTGGTGCTACTGAAGTAGTTGTATGGCTGTTGCGAATGGAAGTTCAGTGAATTTTACATTTCTCTTAGAAGGTAAAGACTATCACTGATGGATCTACAGGAAGAAAAATCCAAGCATTCTACTGATATATAATGTGTAACTATATTTTGAGTTCAGTAACTCATTCTGATTCCTTGCTCGAGCAATGAAGCAGTTTCAGAATCCATTTCATATGTGCATGGTGTGCTTATGGAGTTTGAAGTTAGTCTCTGCAGTTCAGAGACAATCAGACTTTCATTTCACTAGGCAAAAGCCCCCCAAAACAACCCAAGCTCAAAAAACCCGAAGAGAATCCAGTAGCTAAGCTGTTAGTCTAGGCTCTGTACAATCATTCAGTTTCTTGGTTTAGAATTAAATCTCATATCTTCTTACTTCCCAAGAGCAATCAGTAGCATTACTGTAGCAGGGTCAGCTACATATGATTAAAGCTTTCCTGTTTTGCTTACAGCTTTTAGTTTTGCTGTGCTGGTGCTTCAGAAGAAGAGCTGTAACCTAGCTATGATTGGTCTCCAGAGGTAAAGGCTGCAGTCTTAAGCCACATGTCACTTCTTGTTTCTTAAAGCTGGCCTTTCAAAAAATCCTTTTGTGAAGGAGATGCTGCAGATCCCATCTGTACTCTTCAGAGTTGTACTTACTGACTTGAAGCATTTCTGTACAAGTTGCTATCTGGCACCTCCTGTTCCAAAGCACCTTGTTGTTAGTGGTGGTGCAGTCAGACTACACTGCCTCAGTTTTGTGATTGCTTTTGAGACCCTGCCTCTTCCTAGCTTTGTGGTAGAACTGTGTGCAGTTGTTGCCATGCGATTGTGCTGATCTTTTCCCTTCCTTGGTAAGAAGGGTTGGAGGAGTGGGTGAGAAGTACGCTTTGTTAAGGCAAGTAGTGTAGTTACAGTTTTTCAAAGTACCCATTAAAAAGTCCTACCCTTCCTCTCCTCAAGCTTAAACCTTCCTTGGCCCCTAAAACAGCTTTGTGTTGTTACTGCGGCTTGTGTGTTACTAGTACTAGTCCTCCTTTGTGTTTGGTTTTAGAGAATCAATCCACAGGGTGAGTTATGGATAAGTATAATAACTACAAGAAAAGGCATTAACAGTTGCACTGCAACTAAGTGTTGCAGTTAAAGGATTTCATTTGATTAGGAACTGTTGCTGAGCCACACCTGCAAATATGAATAAAGAAAATATCTAATAATCCAATATATCTTAATTGCTTGAAAGCTTTGTTGAAATTAGAATTACTGGGAACACAACACTTAGGTTTTTGAAAGGATTTGTAGTTATACTGTATTTGTAGTTATACCTGCATAGCCAGAGGAAAAAAGATGGCACGTTTCTCTCCGAGTAGAAGCACTGTCTTATTTGGTTATACTGCTGGCTTTTTTGTTTTCAAAGTTTCTTAAGCAAAACAGCAGAAATCTTGGCAAGCCAAGATAAAAGAGCAAGTACAGTATCCAAAGCCCGATTTCTCATTTTGAAGTGGGCTCAGTTTAGTCAGAAGCTAGGAAGTAGTGGGTGTTTTGAGGATACTTTGTATATTGAAACTCTCATTTTTTTAGTTCTCCGCCTGAACTAGCTAGAACTTTACCACAGGGAGGACCTAAACCACCTCACTCCAGTTTAGCTCCTTAACCTGAATTCAACTCTGCCCTGCCTTAGCAAGCTGCTTCCACATATGCGCACCATGTTTTGTGCTTGTACACACTTAAGTTTCATTTGCTCACGAGTAGAATAACTTGCATCACTGCGGCATGTGAGTTTACCTCAGTGCTACATTCCCCACACGGCACAGCACTCCCTGGAACCACTCAGCAGTCAGCCTTTGCCCACGGTCGGGGTCCCGCGGGGCGGCGCAGCCGCCATAGCTGCGGCATTCAAACGTGCCCCGCTCCCGACACCCCCCGCGAGCCCTCGCCCCCTCATTGGCTCTGCCCTCAGCCCCGGCTACTTCCTATTGGCGTGTTTTCCTTTCTGCCCCGCCCCTACTGCTGATTGGCGCTACCGGCCCGGGCGCTCTCGGTGGGCTGCGGAGCGGCCGCTGTCCCCGTCGGCCGCGGCTTGAGGCGGGTGCTCAGAGGCGGGTGCGGGCTCGCCTCTGTCCGCTGGAGGCTCCCGCCGAAGACACAGCGCACCCGTATTTTCCGCTGTGGTGGGAGTGTGGCGGGTCCTTGCCTGCGGCGGGTGTGTGTAGCGATCTCTCCCTTCGGCGCTGCAGCGCGCGCGGCCGCCATGGCGCTGGTGCTGGATCTCCTCAGGCGGGTGCTGGAGTACTTCGGCTGGCCGCCCGACCAGGTGAGTCCCTCAGGCGGGGGGGCGGGGAGGGGGGCGGCTCTCGCCTGCCGGGAGGTGCCTGGACACCTCCTAGTGCCTGACGTCTCCTCTGCAGCCGCTGTGGCGAAGGGGAGAGGAGGGGCCGGCGCCGCGGTGTGGTGTGGTACGACGGGCCTTGCTCCTTCAGTAGATCCTTGCGATTGGGAAGGCTCGGTCGGCGTAATTAGACAGGCTATCCGCATGTGGGATTGCGTGGGGGTCACTGTTCTGATACAGACATTCAAGTGGTCCTTTTTTCTCTGAACAGAGAGGGAAAAAAAAAAAAAAGTAAGTTTAGTTGTTAATGTCTTGCCGTTTTAAATGAAAGGCCACATAGCGATTCCTAAGTAGTAGTTAATCCTGTGTTTTCAGAGGCTTGGAAAAGATATTTTACGGGAAACTGAAAAGGTTAACTAATGTGATGTCAGGGTCTGACGTTATAGAGTTGAGTGTATAGGCAGCTCTTTAGTGATGGGTGTCAGTAGTGAGGCTCTGTCGCGAATTGTACTTCTGAGGATATTCTTGGTTTACTTATGTGAAACTAACAAACTATCTCTAGGAGTAGTAATTTGATTGAGCTATACTGATTACTTTCTGGTTTTGTTATTGGGAGTTCACGTTTCTTTTCATAGGCCATATTTTTGGAAGCTCACATGTTCAGCAGCAGTATCATTCATAGGATCAGAATATGCCTGCCTACAGCAATCTCATCAACAAGGCATTTCCAGCAGTTATATGCAGTCATAAGGAAGTATAAGGCTAAGGTACATTAAACTTATTTTACTTCTTTGTGTCACTCTGAAATGTGTTGGGTGCAGGCTGTATCTTGGTTGTGTTTTGGAAACAGTCTGTTAAAACCATTGTAGGCCTCTTTGGACTTTCAGCTTGAGAAGAATGTTGAAAAGTCAGGTTATCCTGACTGTGTTATATTTAACTACATTATAACATTAAATTATTTAGTAACTTTGGTTGTAAGAACAGCAAACTTTGATTTTGCTTCTCTGATTAAAAGGTATTCTGATTTTTAGGTCATATCTGTTTGTGAAAAAAAGAAATATGGATCTACTCGAAGTGTTGTCCGTAGGCTTGGGACAATTTTTTCTTTAGAGCCCCACCCAAGACCTTATTTTCAAGTAAGTGATTTATTGTTATATATATGATGTAAAATTATGATATAGTGGCAATCACAGAAACACGGTGGGATGTCTCCCATGACTGGAGTGTGCCAGCTGATGGCTACAAGCTCTTTAGGAGGGATAGACAAGGAACAAGAGGCGGTGGGGTGGTGCTGTATGTTTGGGACTGTTATGATTGCTTTGAGCACAAGTATAGCAAAGGCACAGTGTAGTGTCTTCGCATTAGAATCAGGGGGAAGGCCAACAGGGCAAATGTTGCAGTAGGAGTCTACTATAGGCCACCCACCCAGGACAGAGAGGTAGATGAAATAATCTATAGGCACTTAGGAGAAATCTCACCATTGCTTGCCCTTGTTCTTGTGGGAGACTTTAACTTCCCAGACGTTTGCTGGAAATACAACACAGCAGAGCGGGACCAGTTTTGGAGATTCCTGGAATGTGTGGCAGATAACTTCCTGACACAGCTGGTGAGTGAACCGACCAAAGAAGGTTCCCTGCTGGACCTCCTCTTTGTGAGCAGAGAAGGGACTAGTGGATGATGTGGCGGTTGGAGGCCGACTAGGGCACAGCAATCATGAAACAGTAGAGTTCTCTATTCTTAGAGAGGCCAGGGGAGGGCTAAGCAGAACTGAGATCCTGGACTCCCAAAGAGCTGATTTTGTCTTGTTTAGGCTAATGCTTGACAGAACCCTTAGGAGATGATCCTGAAGGGTACAGGGGTCCAGGAAGGCTGGGGCACTCTTTAAGACGGAAGTCTTAATGGCACAGGAGCAGGTGGTGCCCAGATGCTGTAAGAGAAGCCAGTGGCAAAGAAGACCACCCTGACTAAACAGGGAGCTTTGGCTGCAACTCGGGGAGAAAAAGAGAGTTTACAGCCTTTGGAAGAAGGGGCTAGCTACTCACAATGATTACAAAGATTCTGTGAGGCTATGCAGAGTGGAAATCAGGAGGGCTAAAGCCCAGATAGAAATTAATCTGGCTTCAGCAGTCAAAGATAACAAGAAACATTTCTATAAGTACTTCAGCAGCAAAAGAAAGACCAGGGAGAGCCTCCATCCCCTGCTAGATGCAGGAGGAAACGGTAACAAGTGATGAGGAAAAGGCTGAGGTGCTTAATGCCTTCTTTGCCTCAGTCTTTAATAACAAGACTAGTTGTACTGAGGGAATCCAGCCTCCTCAGCCAGAAGACAGAGACTAGGAGAATGACCCTCCCACAATCCAGGAGAAGATAGTCAGTGACCTACTGCATCACATAGACACACTCAAGTCTATGGGACCGGGTGGGATACACCTGAGGGTGCTGAAGGAGCTGGCTGGGGTGCTTGCCAAGCCGCTTTCCATCATTTACCAGCAGTCCTGGCTGACTGGGGAGCTCCCAACAGGTTGGTAATTGGCCAATGTGACACCCATATATAAGAAGGGTCAGAAGGATGATCTGGGAAATTACAGACCTGTCAGCTTGACTTCGGTGCCCGGGAAGCTGATGGAGCAGCTCATACTGAGTGCCATCACACAACACGTGCGGGACAACCAGATGATCAGGCCCAGTCAGCATGGGGTTATGAAAGGCAGGTCCTGCCTGACAAACCTCATCTCCTACTACAGGGCAACCTGCTTATTGGTTAAAGGAAAGGCTGTGGACGTTGTCTACCTTGACTTTAGTAAGGCCTTTGACACCGTTTCCCACAGCATTCTCCTGGTGAAACTGGCTGCTTGCGGCTTGGATGGGCACACGCTTCACTGGGTAAAAAACTGGCTGGACGGCTGGGCCCAAAGAGTTGTGGTGAACGGAGTTAAATCCACTTGGTGGTTGGTCACGAGTGGTGTCCCCCAGGGCTCGGTTCTGGGGCCACTCCTGTTTATCATCTTTATTGATGACCTAGACAAGGGGTTCGAGTGCACCCTCAGTCAGTTTGCAGATGACACCCAGTTGGGTGGGAGTGTTGATCTGCTCGAGGGTAGGGAGGCTCTGCAGAGAGACCTGGACAGGCTGGAGCCATGGGCTGAGGCCAACTGGAGGAGTTTCAATAACGCCAAATGCCAGGGGCTGCACTTGGGCTATAGCAACCCCCAGCAGAGCTACAGGCTTGGGGAGGAGTGGCTGGAGAGCTGCCAGTCAGAGAGGGACCTGGGGGTGTTGATTGACAGCTGGCTGAACAGGAGCCAGCAGTGTGCCCAGGTGGCCAAGAAGGCCAATGGCATCCTGGCTTGTGTCAGCAATAGTGTGGCCAGCAGGGACAGGGAAGGGATCTTACCCCTGTACTCGGCACTGGTGAGGCCGCACCTAGATTCCTGTGTTCAGTTTTGGGCCCCTCACTACAAAAAGGACATTGAATGACTCGAGCGTGTCCAGAGAAGGGCAACGAAGCTGGTGCAGGGTCTGGAGCACAGGTCGTACAGGGAGCGGCTGAGGGAACTGGGGGTGTTTAGTCTGGAGAAGAGGAGGCTGAGGGGAGACCTCATCGCCCTCTACAGCTACCTGAAAGGAGGCTGCAGAGAGCTGGGGATGAATTTCTTTAACCAAGTAACAAGCGACAGGACAAGAGGCAATGGCCTCAGGTTGCACCAGGAAAGGTTTAGACTGGATATTAGGAAGTATTTCTTTACAGAATGGATTGTTAGGTGTTGGAATGGGCTGCCCAGGGAAGTGATGAAGTCCCCATCCCTGGAGGTATTTAAGAGTCACATAATCAACTAGGTTGGAAAGGACCTTGAACATCATATAGTCCAAGTGTTAACCTAGCACTGACAGTTGCCAACTACAGCATATCCCTAAGCACTATGTTGACCCAGCTCTTGAAGTGTTGACATAGCTGAGGGATATGGTGTAGTTGAGAACGGTCAGTGTTAAGTTAATGGCTGGACTAGATGATCTTCAAGGTCTTTTCCAACCTAGATTATTCTGTGATGTGCTTCAACTGTTTAAGTTTCCTGGTTTTTTAATATAGTGGTAGCTTTCCTGTTTTTTTTAGCTCTGTGTTGCATCCTTTATGCTCTCTGTCTTCAACTTGCTTACAGCACTGTTTAAAACTCCTTTTACCTTTTAGTATGTGCTGAATTTGGTTTCTCTTCATCCTTTTTTGTTTGCTTGTTTTTAGCTTGTTCGAGACCCAAGTCCATTGGGTAATGATGAACAAAGCACAGCTCTGCCTCCTGTAGCTCCATCACTTGCTGATGTCCTGTGCATGGAAAATAACGAGGGACAAGCATTTACTAGACTTAGGTAAGTAAAAGTAGACTATATGCATAAAAAGGAGTAATAAAAGTCACTTATGTCTTCTCTTCTTTGTGGTGTGGTTGTATGGTGTAGGGTTGTGTGTTTTTTTCTTTTTTTTTTTTAGCCATTTAAGGGTTCCTGCTAATCCTGGGAACCTTTTGTTTGGGAACAGTTCCTGCTTACTTGGAAATTCTTACTATGTAGAGTATTCTGATGTGAAAGATTTCTGAAATTGAATCTCTTCTTTTCTCTGCCTAGTAGCATATCAGATGTATTACTGGTATTTTTTGTTTTCCCTCGCAAAGTACTTTGCGAGAGAGGAAGTTTAAGGAAAACTTGTGTATTGCAACATACAATGAGATTCTTATCTATCAAGCATTTTGATAAATGTTATAAAGGGGAGAATAAGAAAAAAATATTTAAATGTCTCCTTTTGATGTTGATTACTACAGTGCTACGTGTGGAAACTTTGATGGTTGCTTTGAGGGAAGGAAAAACATATTTTATAATTCTTTTTAGCTTTTACAGAGTGCTAAAGAAAAATAGTTTTATAATTGTAAAATATTAGAAGTACTGTGAAATGACAAATCATCCAGGAATTTGCAGACATAAGTAGTATACAAGTCTTCTGCCCCATGAGAAGGAATAGCAAGTTGGCTTATTGTTCCTGTAAAGGATCTGTTCAAAATCAGAGGAGGCAGCAGTCAGAACCAAGGTTAAAATTTGGTCACTTGTATTGTCTCATACTATTACATCTGTATCAGACAACATAACTCTACTTCATATTGGCATGGTTTGTCTGTGATCTTTGCGCTGCTTGCTGGTAATGAAACTACAAGAAACTGATGAAATAATGCACTTTGATAAAGTTGTGTTTCATCTTGTGATTCCTGAGATGTTACTGTTGAATTATGTAAGGTTTTTCTGCAACAGATATAAAATACTGGAAGAGTAAGAATATTGTTCAGAGGAACTGTGGCCTGTTTTGTCTTGCCTGTGCTTTTTTTGGTCAGTCTGATTCACAGATCCATTAAAGTCCATTCTTTTGTTGTTTTCATTCTTTCTTCCTCCTTCTTTCTTGGCTTTGTGGGATGTTTTTCAAGAACAAGTATATCGTAATTGGTCTCTTTTTCTTCTGAGCCAATGTGAAGAGCAAGGGTTTTTGGCAAATCGAAGGCAATGCTGCAGATCTGATTTGAAGTAGAAGCGCGACTAATATAAGGGAAAAGGTCTAGTTTTGTTTTAGTCAAAACTTAGTGCATTTTCAATAAAGAAAATTTTAATTTCTTTGTTTCATAATTTGTTTGCACTCATTCTGTTTAAAGTTTCCTTAACTAGTTTGCAAATTTATGTCTTGCTGAATGATAATTTGCTTGAGCAGATAGGAAGTTTTGAGATTTCCATTTTTGGCTGAGCCTTTTGAAACTATGTCTTTGTTGCTTTCTAGGACTGAATTATGGAAAAAAGAAAAAAGTACAGTGTATCATGACCTACATCCATCTATAGATTCAATACAAAGTGTTATAAAACACAGTACACAAAAAGACTGTCTTGTTGATCAAGCAGCACTCCAGAAAATTTCTGCACTTGAAGATGAGCTAACCTTTCTTCGTGGTCAGATTGCTGCAATTGTTTCAGCGCAGACATTGGGAAGCATTCCATCACGTAAGCCCTTCTGGTTTGAAGCAAACCAGTTTTCATTTTTTTGTTTTGGAGTTCCTGTTCACAGCTTGCCATGTCTGATATTGATAGAGAACATCTCTAACTTATCTAACTAAAGTTACACCAGCTAAATGTACAGAATATAGTATTTTGTTTCTCTTTTTAGTATTTGGTACTCCTCCCCCACTTCTATTTTGTGGCCTGTTTGCCAGTTTTGAATGCAGTTGATCCTAAGGGATCTTTGTACTCATTTCCTTGTTTGTGGAGGAGCTTAGTAACAACACTATCCATAGGCTACCAGTTACTGTCTAAAAAGTTACAGACTATTAATTATCTCTTTTGAGTTTTGTACTGTTTCTGACAAGTTATCAAAATAATGGATAGAAAAAGAATTCATAAGTCAGTCAGGTTCAGGCTTTAACACAAACAAATGCTGCAAATAGATGTGTCATTAGAGTATCAAAGATGGAAGTTCATATTGGAGACCAGCTAGCTTGTGACTTTTTCCCTTTAAAAGTTTTGAGGTCTCGATTGTCTTACTTGCAGACTAACCCCACTGTGGTGGTTGGAATATTTGGAGTGGTGTGAGGTAGTTACCTTTGTGTGACATTATGAGGCACCTCTGTGATTCAGTTAGCTGTTCTGTTGGCTCTTCTTTTGTCTCATCTCCACTGCACTCAGTATTGTAGTTTATTTTACATGTTTTATGGTTATCTTTGCTTTGCTTTTGCTTCATGTGTTTTATCCTAACCTTCACTCCATTGAGAATGAACTGTATGTAGTAGCAGGTTGCTTTGCTGTTGGAGTGTTGCTTTGATGATTTATCTAGTGCTTAGACTGAAGATATAAACAGAGAAAATCAGAGCAGCACTAGACACCTCAGACTGATCATATGTTCTGAATCTGTGGCTTTGAAATAAAAAAATGTTCTCTGTTTTAAATATATTTCTTCTGTGGTATAATGTGTGAGGTATGTAAGAAAGTGCTTTAAGAGGACTGTCTTACCTTGATGTTGCTTAATACAGTTAATTGTGGAGGTATACTGCCTGAAAATCACTACTTTTCTTTTCTAACTGCATCCAGAAGCCTTTAAAACATTCAGCACATCAGATGGATTTTACCCAGTGCCAGCCATGACTTCTACGCCACTGTCCGTCTCTCACAATCGCTTTGTAATTCCCTCGCCTCCTCCACTTCCTTCTGGTGTACCATCTGGTGTTGGTGCTGGTAATTCGGGAATTGAACTTATAAAACAACGTCGTGCTGAAAGAAACAGTGGTTCAACTGCAGCTGGTAGTGCTGATCACCAGAGGACAAAAAATGTTCCTAGTATGATGGATGTTTTGAAAGACCTAAACAAAGTTCAGTTGCGAGCTACTGAGAGGTAGGTTGAATTGAATGTGTACCTGAGTAAGTCAAGACTATGTAAGCATCACAAGACTTAAGGTAGCGCTAAAGAACACCAATGTAAAACATAATTTAATGAGCAGCTACTGCTGGCAAAACTTAAGTTGGCATCTTTGAAGGTCACAGCTTGGAAAATAAGATAGGTACTCGTGACATGGCTTTTAGATGCATTTAAAACAAGCTGAACATCATAGCATTTAAAACTGCTATGCTCCTGCTTTAGTATACAAATATCAGGTTGCCCTGGGGAGGTAGGTGTGTTGCTATCTGAAGATTGCTTACAAAGTTGCCTACACAGTCACGGGAAACTGATCCGAACAAATAAATTTTTTGATTCACTGTAAAAGGACAAATCCTTGGGGAAACGCTGGGAAACTGTAAACATACCTAAAAGAATTCTGGTCCTAGCTTTCAAGTGTTAAAGAAAATACATGCTGTATCTTTTATTGAAAATGTTTTGTAAATTGTATTTCAGTAGTGCAGTTGGTTTATAACTATTTTTAATGGTCTGCCGTTTTGATGGTAAGCACAGTTGACATGTATTACTAAGGACTGCAGTACTCTTTGACATGCATTACTAAGGACTGCAGTAGCTCTTTGAGTCAGTGTTGATGTGTTCTGCTAGGTGTGATGGAGGTTGTCAGATGTCTCTTCTGAAATTCTTGAGCTGAAGAAGTATATGAGAACAACTGAGGCTGTAATGATTATGAGCTCTTAATGGGTGAAGAATGTCACTTAAACTTACTGCATTTTTATTTCAGCATTTTCTTAACTGTGATTTTTATCTCTGAAAATAACTAGAACAAGTAGCAGACAAATCATCTATATGCAAGTCTAAAGCGTACCTTTACACTTTTGATGACATTTTCTTAGTAAAAAAAGCAAATATAAAGTGCACTTAGGTAAACCTGTGTGTTTCCTTATATGTGGTTTCTTCCATATAATTCCATGTCTGGTGAGTGAAATGTTCAGGTTGACAGTTTTAACAACCAGCATGTTGAGCAGAGGTATAATTAGTAGGAAATGGTAAGTGTGCATCCAAAATGCTTTCTGGATTTAGGCATCTGCCTGTATTCTGAAGGTAGAACTTAACTGAATAGTAAATTTGTGTTGTTGGAGGGAGTGATGATGATCAAAATTGCTATAATGATTCAGGCAGCAGTCTGATAATAGTTTAACATGTGCCCTGTAAAGGGAAGACCTCTGTTCTTGCAGGTTGACAGCCTGAAGATCCCTGTTTCTGCCACCTGAGCACCAGTTTACACATTGGGCAAGTGCTCTAACAGCTTGATTCTATAGGAAGGGTGAACTCAGTCCTTTCAGGTTTCATGTTAAACGATTTCTACTGTAACTGCCAGATTTTGAACTCGGTACTGTCACTGTGCATTAATAGGTATAATTTGCTGGCCTGGAGGTAGCACTTTACTAGCAGAAGTCTGAATACCTCTAGATTTTTTTCAAGTATCTCAGTGGTTAGGAAGTCCTTATGATTTCTTTTCTTGACCCAGTCACTAACTTCCACATTTATATTAGGTCTTGAGGTGCAGGTGCTGTTTAGATCTTGCATCTCTTTGTTATCTTTTGATTTTGAATTTGATAACAGTTTTTCTAAATTAAAATGTAAACTCTTTAATTTTTGTCTATAAAATTTTTATATTTGGATGCTCAGGTGCTCGCTTAGAGGGAAAAACTGTCTTTGAAGCCTTTGTGCCAAATCTGATATTTTTTTATTTTTTTTTTTTAAATAATGAAACTTGAGTTAAGTATGGTTTCTAAATGGGACTTTATGATCACTTGGCTGCATAGTTGACTTAGAGTGGTTGTTTTCTTTAAATATATTTACTCTGAGGGATTTTCTAAGTTTGTTCTTTCTCGTGAGACCGTAGAAAGGTATACTGTTTTAAACTTAAAAGTAATGAATTTTAAATCAAATTATGTTCACAATGGTTATGAAATATGTTACTGGGAATCTCCACGTACCATAATATAACTTATAAATGAGATCTGTGATGAAAACTGCACATTTTGCTTTTTTTTCCTCATTATTTATTTGCAATACTTTAATGCTTTTTGTTGATTTACTTCCTTTTTTTTATGGCACACCATCAAGTTGTATTTTCAAGCCAAGAATCTGGCTGATAAGTTGTTAGGTGTACTTTTATTAGTCCTATTTGGTGAATTGCTATAAAATAACATGAGCAGCTTTTTTGTGTAATCAGGGATTTATAGGATAGGGTGTATATAGAAGTTCTGTCACTAGATTTTGAATCACTCAGTACAGAATAAAGGTCAGTAGACAATTCATTTTCTTTTCTTTTGTAGGTCACCTGGAGGTACTCCTCTTTCTAAACCCAAAAAGGGGCAAAGTTCTGACTGGGATCCAGTTGCTCTACTAACTCATGCACTGAAGCAGAAATTTGCACATAAAAATGATGATGAAGATGATTCCCTGGACAAAGAAAATCAATCTTTTGATAGCTCCCCATTTTCTAGTCCAGAGATTCCACTGGTATGTGTTTATGTAAGACTGTGTTTTTTATATTGTTGAAATGACTGCTCAGTTCATGGATAGTTGCAGGGTTTTTATGAGTCTGCTGCAATGTTTTTAAGCCATTGGCCTAGGTAGTTGCTTTTTTCATGTATAATCAAGGCAGAGAATGTCAAAGATTATTTATTTTGAATGGATTTAGACTGGTAAATGCACTTCTAGATATGCCAGGAGGGAAAACTTAGAAGGCTAGCTTCAAAAATTCAGCTCTCAATTGATTGAACTATGGGTAATTGCTTCATGGTAACTGGCAGGTATCCATGCATAGAAACTGTGTGTCTTTTTAATAACACGCACTACTTGTTGACTAATTTTACAAATAAAGATGCTAGGAAGGTGCAGAGAGGTCTGACTAACATGTGCTATGTATTCAGAAATGAAAATGAAAGTATTGACCATAATCTTTTTCTTTGAGGCAGCATCATTTCTGCACAGATTGCATCTTTATCCAGAATGAGATGTGATTCTGCATGCTGTTGCAAAGCCCATGAAAAATACAGTTTTTGCTATGAACAATAAAAGTGTAGTAGACAGAGCCATTGGACAAAGGTGGTTCTGAGTGCTGGTTTCTGTAGAGCAGCCTATGCGAGCTACTTCAGCTTCCACAGTCCAGCAGTACTGTTGGTTATTTGTTAGACTTCCACAAACCTCAGAACTGCTTAGATGAGATGGATAGAACTCATTGGCAGTAATTTAAACTGTGTCTCTCTGCTTAGCAATTCTATCTTTAGATCTTACAAGTGAGATAAAAGTTTGGACTGGCATTTGTTTGCTCAGTGGAGGGAAATAATAATGCAAAGCTTATCATGGAGATCTAGATATTCTTTGAAGGCTGGTGCTTATACTCATGGCTAGCTGTTTGGCTGAAAACTTAGTTTTCCTTAAGGAGTGTGTTCTAGCTGTTTTGTTTTGTTTTGTTTTGTTTTTTTTTCAAATTTCAGCTGCCACAAGGATTTTGCAAGTGAAATGTAGCATATATTTTACAGACTGGAGTGAGTCAGCAGCTCTGGTGCAGTCTTAATAAATTTCCCTGTTGACTTGTTGTTTTTTTTTTCCCCCAATGGAAAAATTAGAAACTTCTTTAAAATAGCCAGTCTTGTATTTTGGATGCTGCAGACCATTGCATTGAATAGCTGACATACCTGAGTCTAGATGCAAAGGTCAAAGTTAGATCCTGGAACACCTTGTCCTGGTTTCCGCTGGGTTAGAGTTAATTTTCTTCCTAGTAGCTGGTGCAGTGCTGTGTTTTGGATTTAGTGTGAGAATGATGTTGATAAACACACTGATGTTTTAGTTGTTGCTAAGTAGCACTTACCCTAAGTTGAGGACTTTTCAGTTTCCCATGCTCTGCCAGCAAGGAGGTGCACAAGAAGCTGGGAAGGAACCTGGCCAGGAGAGCTGACCCGAACTAGCCAAAGCGATATTCCGTACTGTAGGATGTCACGCTTAGTATATAAACCGGGGGGAGCTGGTTGGGGAGGGGAGATTGCTGCTCAGGCATTGGTCAGTGGGTGGTGACCTGCTGTGCATCACTTGTCTTTTCTTGGGTTTTATTTCTCTCTCTTTTTGTTCTTTTCCTTTTCATTACTGTTATTGTGATTGTATTTTATTATTATTTTTATTATTATATGTTATTGTGCTTTAGTTAAGATGTTCTTATGTCGACCCACAAGTCTTACTTTTTTTTTTCCCATCCCCTCCAGTTCTTCTCCCTATCCCACTGGGAAGGGGGGAGGAGTGAGCGAGTGCCTGCATGGTGCTTAATTGCTGTTTGGGGCTAATCTATGACACTTGTTTATGGAATAGCTTTTGTTCCAGGATCTAATAGCTGAACTGTAAAGTCCTGGAAGAGTGATTGCTTAAGGCCAGCATGATCAGGAGTAGATACAGAAAGATGAGATTTTTCTGGTTGAAGCAGAATAATCTCATGAGCTTGTAATAAAGCCTCTAATAGCTTACTCTTGAGTGTTTTGAAGAATAAATGTACTTTAAGTAATTGCACAGGCTTAGTATTTTATTCTTCCTACACTAAGAAATGCAGCAACTCTTCCAAACTGTCTTTATTGTAAACACCTCATTGAGTAGTGTTGGGTATAATTTTGTTTAACTTCATCCCTGCTCCCCAGGTTGGACGTTGCAGTCTGAAGCCAAGTGGAAAATCTAGCCTTACAAGAACTGATGAAGTTAAGCAGGTACCAATGTGGAAAGTGAGAGCTCATATTTAACTAATGGAGACTTCTGAGGAAACTTCATAAGTGTGTGTAAGTGGCGGGTCCACTTTGAAGCTGCTGTAAGGTGCTGTAATGTGTTCTAGCACGTCTCCTATGCTACTGAAGTTTGAATAGGGTTTGTAAAATTGCCTTTTCCTTCCCCTTAGTTTCCTAGCAGCCAAACTTGTGAATGTGATGCTTTTACGAGAAGCATAGACCCCAAAAGAAGGCTTTTATTGTCATGGAGCAGTGTCTTTGAAACCTGGGAAATGTAGGAAAGAAGTGTGTGTGAGAGAAAAAATAGGTACTGGTGTAGCAGCTGAGGTGCGTGCTCCTTTTGCACTCCAGTGTAAATAATGAGGAAGTGTAAACTTTTTGTTCATGTGTTATGTATAATTCACTGTATATAATGGTAGCTAATGCTGTTTCATTAGAATGGTATAGTTGCCTCAGTTTTCCTTGCAGTTTGGTGATGCAACTCCATATTCCATGTGCAAACAGTATTCTAATTTATTTTGGGTGAGTAGATGAACTTTTATGGTTGTGAAACTTAGTGCGGTAAGTAAACTGCAGGTTGTCTGTTAAATGTCTGTAATATGGGGGAGTTGTGTTCTGAGATAAAGACCTTGTAGAGAGATCTGCTAGCACATAGTCTAAATTTCATATGTAAATAAACATTATCTCTCTCCTTGGCTTCTCCATACTAAGTCTGTTTTGTTCACAAGAGTTCATAAAATAAAATTTACTTTATATCATAGATGTGTGTGGTACTGGTGTTTTGTGTTGCAGATTAACTTTTTTGAATATTAAGAACTGACCATATCAGAAAACTTCTTAAATAAATTGTATTAACTAAAATTGATGAAAATAGAGCTTATATTTTTCCTGCCAGAGTCCTAGATAGTCTCTTTCTTACAAGTTTGTTACGATCCACTGCTTAAAATAGGTGCCTTCACTTAATCTTTTGGCTAATGATCCTCATGTATAAAACCAAAATCCTACCAATTAGACTGTTGAGTGTGTCCCTTATCCCATGTTTCTTCTTTTTCCCTGCTCACTTACACAGAGTAGACTGGCAGCTGGATTCCTTGCTGAGCCTTATTTGCACAGTTGTAAGAAATTACTGTGCAAATCCCCCATACTTGTGGTTTAATTTTAAAAGTTTTCTTTTGACTAAAGCTGGAGCTTAAGTGATTTGTTATTTTATGACTTCTAGGTATTTCTTTTAATTCAGTAATTATTGAATTTTATCACATTCTCCCATTCTGTTCTCAGTCCATAACAGAGTGACCTTCCCTTTCTTTCCACTTTCAAAATAGGTATTTGCTGCATTCTCTACCTAAATTTGACAGCTGCTATGAAATTCATACAGAATAGCCTATCTGGCTCTGTATTTAACAGTTTCACCCTCTTCTGTCAAAGCTCCCCATTGTCTTTTGTCTGCTGCTCTGATCTCTGATATATACTAGGGCATCAGGGAGCAATGGTGAAGGAAGAGGGATATGAAGGCAGGTGAGTCCTGGTCAGCATAAAGCCTATGAATCAGCTCCCTTTTTTTCTCAGTATCTGTGGTGTGATGAGGTGGAGCGAGTTATCTCCTGTGTTATATCAACATTTGTAGATCCAGAGGATCTCAGGGCTTGTGGCCATTCTGTTGTGACTGACAAACATGAAGGTGCAATTCTTGCTGTGAGAGTCTGAATTAATCTGCAAAAGCCTGAATACAGTAGTCCTCTTTCTCTCCTACTTCAGTTGCTTTATGTGACCAGCAGCTGCTTCTCTTCAGGAAGAACTACTGTTTTGGACTGGTTTTGTATTTTTATTTTCTGTTCTCTCCAGAGTTCATCATTTAACTACAAGTTTGGCTTACAGGAGTATTTTGCAGTGGGAATTTTGAATTTGAAAGTGTCTTTTCATTTTGGAAGGGAATTGTCTTAGAAATTTCTTAATATCTCTTAAACCAAGGATCTAGTGTCAGACTTCAGAAGCGTCTGCAAATTCTACTGAGGTGTGTGACCCTTCAGGTTGTTGGATACTATCTCTGATTTTTGTGTCTGCCTGATGTGAATTGTGCAGTAATGTAGTTTGTATAGCTGATCTGCTTCCTTAGGGAAAAGTGTAAGTCATGGGCCATGTGATTTTTTTTCAACTGTGCACTACCTACATATGTTACGAGAACAGATTCTTTGGTTTATGTATTTCCAGATGTTAATTACGTTAGGCATCGAGCCCTGCTATACCTTGAAGTCTGTAGGTGGCATCTGGTAACATCTGACACTTCTTCAATACTAAGAAGTTGCGAAACATAGACAGGGATGCTTAATAATGAAAAAGTGACACCCATTGCAGAGATTTTTTTTTTTCTGGCTTTCAGAGCTAACAGAAAAGTGGCTTTGTCATCTTATTTTCTTTGACTAAAACATCTGTATCAACAATTTGGAAGAAGTTGAGATCCTCTGAGGTTATCTGTGCCCACCTAGAATCCATGCCCTTGTTCTGCTGATTGAGGATGCCAATTAGACACCAGAGTGAAAAGATTAGGCTTATTTTACTGTTAATAATCAAGGATATAACCAAGTAATACAGAAAATAAGAAAAATACAGAATAGTACACTTAATAAGCAAGGTAATGCAGCTAGTCATTACTACACAATGGGGAGAATAGTGATTAAGAAAGATACATCACCACTTGCATATGTTGCCAACATCCAGATCCACAGTCGCTGGGGAGCCCCAGTTGCAGCAAGGATTTGGAGCCTGTCCTGGCAAGTGGAAAGTCCTACATGATGTGTCCATCTGTAGGCGAGGCATCTGAAGTCGCAGCAAGAGGGTCCAGCCTTATATATAAAAAACAGCGAGTCAGAATGACTGGCACCTTTCTTTGAGTGGGAACATCTGGTTTCATTCCCCTGTTGGATGCCACTGAAAGCCTGGCCAGAGCTTAAGGGGGAGAACCAAGGGAGTTTCCAACAAGGCCAAACACCTGGATTCTCAGCCTTGAACAAGGCCAAACAGAACCAAGGGAGTTTCTTAATCTACTTGGTTCTGTTCCCGCAAAGTTTCCAACAATGCTATACAAGGAAAGTTGGATACAGTCTCATGACATTTCATCCTCACAACCAATTATATTTTGTCTAATATACATCTTTCACTAATGAGCATACGTATTTCGTTAATGATCAGATACTAATAATAAACACTAATGGTAATACAGATTTTACTAATTAGCAGATACTAATAATGGATTTTGAGGCTCATCTAGAGGTCAATTTTGTTTCAGGGCCTATTATTCAGGCCCTAGCACTACAGCCTTGTTTACCTGCAAATAACCTCATTTACATAAAGTCACTGACTGAATTGCTCAGTGACAATGCCACTCTTAGAGATGCAGTAGTGATATGAGGGAGGAGGAGGAGACTTGGGAACGTGAGCTCTCTAGTGGTCTGCTGGAACAAATCTTGTGAAATGTTGTGCCTTCTTATTATCCCTGAAGAAGTTTGGAAAGTTTATTCTCCCCCTACTGATGAATTTTTGGACAGGATGTCTTCCTTCAGGAGTTGCTGGGGAAGTCTCTGGAAAGAAAGTTGGTTTTGTTTTTTCACTAGAAAGACTAAGAAATATGTACTGTATATCCAGTTATTCAATTGATAAAATTGGAAGAAGAATAAATGTTTCAAATATTTAGAGTAAATAGGGCTAGAAGGAAAAGTACAGTGTGGATGTTTAAAAGCGCTCAAGGATTTTTCCCTAGGAGATCCTAAGAGATTTGAGTTCTTTAGCTTCCCATTACAAGGAGACTAATAAATATAATTGCCTGACCTCTCAGAATATCAGAGTTTGCTGACAAATTCCTATAATATACCAGACCTGTGCAGATACTTGTGACTGGTAAGGGACAATTAATATATAAGCTGTCATCTCTTTGTATGTGTAGGTACAGAGTTGTTGGGGAAAGGCTCAGCAGAGAATATGCAACAGTATTCGCTGCCTTCAGTCTATTCCTCTTTTCAGGAATTAATTACATTGTTCCTTAGTCCTACCTAAATAGTTAAATTATATATCAGGCTCTTGCAAAAGTCTAATTGACTGGGGAATCCAGCTAAACAGGTTATCCTTGGAATTACTGATCAGAAGCCTCAGGAAAAGAAAGTCCTGCAGGCAAGACTATTGAAGCAACTGGTGTCACAATATTAGTAAGGTCTGCAGCCAGATTTCACTTCTGCTTTATCTGAAATCTGTTTGCCAATGATTGTAGGTATCCAGGAGACATTTGTAATCCTGATTCCTATACCAGTTTCTCAGATCCCCATGTGATCTACCAGTACATTTTTTGTAATTTTTCATTTAAAAAAAAAAAAAAATTAAGCCTGCCTGAAATTTTCCAATGGTAAAAAATGGTCAACATTAGCCCACTGTGATGAGAGAAGCAACTGAAAATTTGACATTCATATTGCCTTTGGTCAATGGCATGATTTGATTTAATAACTTTTCAGTTATTAAAATAACTTTCAGTTATTTTAAAATATAAAAAAATATAAGTGAGAAAATGCAGCTTTTTTCTGAACAGCACTGGCCTCAGTATTAGTATGAATATCTTTTTCTCTTTCTCAGGCATGAATGTTCATCATACTTAACAAGTTTGGCATTGAGAATGTACTGCTGTGTAAAAGAACCATCTTTTTTTAGTTTCACTGGCATTTGTGAAGAATAATTTGATAATTCTTTAATTTGTTTGGACATTGAAATTACATAATCCTATTTATTTTATAAATACATTATGTTGAAGAAAAACTTACATTTATTAATAACTTATTTTAAATCACAATTAGAGTAAGTTATCCAGTATACAGAAACAGCTAGCTTCAGGTGGAATGTCTTGGTATTTGTACTACATTTTTTGAAGAGAACTGATATGAACAGCAGTTCCTTTAGGAATTTGATGTAGCTTTGAAGGCTTGCTGCTTGTCTTAAAATTTTAATGACAAACCTCTAGAATTTGAAAACTGATGGTGACCAAAACTAAAACCAAGTAGGTTTCTGCATATATGTATTTTATCTTGCTTTATATTCTTTCTTTTTCAGTGCTAGTGCTTGCCATCTTACAAACTTCTGCTCATGTATCAGCCCATAGGTCATTCTTTTCCTCTTATTCTGTTTGGGAGAATTATTGCCAGACATAAAATGATTCTTGAAACTTCTTTGAAATGTGAGTAATTGACTTTGTAGAGTCTAAATCTTAATTAACAAGGCAGTTAACTATTAGGGTGCTAACTCCTGCTAAAATGCTTGATTTTATGATTTTGTTTGAGGTTTTAAAATACCTAACTGCTTTCTGTCTCTGGAGGTGTTTTGAAAGGACATACTATTCTTTCTCATTTTCATTTTATGGCTTATACTTATGTTTCTTTTTCCTTGCAAAACTGTTATGGAAATATTTGTTCATGGATAAAATCTACACAAGGTAGATGTGTTCTTTTTATTTAGGTATATCTTTGTACTATTTATGTAATTCAGTATAACTTAATAGTGAAGCTATTGTAGTGTTTCTTCAATAAATGTACTATTTTTTTTCCTTTCTTGCCTTACATCTTGTATGCAGCATTATGTATTTTGTACAGTATATATACTGCAATTCTATTCCATTCAATTATTTCACCAGCCCCCCTTGCCTCAATAATTCTTCCTGTATTGGCATAATCAGACTCTCTTGGTCACTATCTCCTTCCTCGGGGGATCAAATAAATAGATTAAA